ATTGACGAAAAATGATCGTGAAACTTGATTGATCACTGACAATATCACTGACAAAAGATTTCGCAATAGAATTACTTATAAAAATCATAAAGAAATTTTTTTATAATTATATATAAAAAATTAATAAAATCCTTGAAAAGAAATAATTTTATCATATATAAAACAAAATACAAATTTAAAAAAAAAATTTATCGAATTTCTAAATCTAGACAGAAACAGTTTAGATTCGTTTTATTAGCAATAAAACTAAAATACGTAATAAGTGCAATTTATATTTATTATATTTCATTATAATAAAATGAGTTTATGATAAAAACTTAATTGTTTTTCCAATTATTTTTAGTAAAACTCCTTTAAATAAAATAATTAAACTTTATCACGTAAATTAATTCAATATATAAATGTGTTTAATAAAATATAAATCATGATTTCAAAATTTTTTTCATGATTAATAAAAAATTCATATGATAACATTTAACATACATATCAAAACATATGAAAAGACTACACAATGTAACCAATTTAAAAAATACTTTTTATAATTTTTTTCTATAATTCTATTTTTACTAACATAAAGAAATAATTTGATAAATTTTCAGTAGAAAGAATTGCAATATGAATATATTTCGCGCTATTGTAAATTCAGCTGTTAATTCAAATATTTGCTGGATATGCGGAAAAATTTTCTAAAATCTAATTTAAAACTTAATTGATTTTTTATACTATTTGTTTGATTTTTGTAACATGATCTCAAAATATGAAAAATGCATTAAATTTTATTGAATAACATATTATAATAATAAATTAAATTTTGTTGATTCTGCAATGAAATTATGCAATAAAATATTTATATTTTATAGTAATATATTTGTAAAAAAAATAATTTAAAATTAACAAATGAATATGTTCAAAATAATTCTTAAGAATTTTTTAAACGGTAAGATTTAATTAGTGAATATCAAATTTTAATGTTAATAATTCCATGTTAATAATGTTAATATTTCATTCAAATAATAAATATAAATGAGACAATTGTCAATTATAAAAATTGAAAAGATAGGATAATAGCAATAGATGTATGTAAAAAAATATTCAAAAATATTTTATAAAAAATTGAATATAACGAATATTTTTGAAAAATAAATTAGCAATGTAAAAAATATCGAATCATTAACTGCAACTAGGAATTCGATTATAAATTTGAAATATAATGAAATTTAAATCACATAAAAACATAACAAAAAATATAATTACAAGAAGTATTATATATAAATGCAAGATATAAAGTAAAAAATGCATTAAAAAATTAGATAAAATATTCAATATAAAGTAAATCATTACTACTAAAAATTTAACAACACATGCAGAGCTTGTGTTATTATTTTAAACAGAAGTTAAAGATGATAAAAAAATATTTCAAAGAAAAAAAATTATCAAATAAATATTTAGTATATGATATTTAATAAGTTTAAACTTTTAAAACTAATTTTGATTTATTAAAATTAATATAGAAAAAAAAAAAACTATCCAAAAAGTATAACATAAATCTTGCAGAAAAATATATAAAATTTTCAAACAAATTAAAAATTGTAAGAAAAGTGAAAATTAAGAATACATACCATAAAGTGGGCCGAGGAAGTAATGGATTCAGAACAAGTTGATGGAGGAAAAGACACAAGGTAGATCACAAAGGAATGTTGTTTTACTTCGTTTGTGCACACGGAAAGACAGAGAATCGCACTAATAAGCGAACAGTCGCGGTTGCCTGCTTTAAGTAGGCATATTCGTTGAAGAGGATGAAACAAGGCTGACTTTCAGTGTTAGCAGTTTTCACACACGCTACCGGCCCAGCAAGATTAAAATGGTAGAATACCGCAAGGCGCCATCTTTAGTAGATGGCACGCAAGCGCTGTTTTTACTGCCATCTTATAGTCAATTATTGAAATAAAATTTAAAAAAAATAACATACAGGATATAATTCTAGGGATACATAAAATAATTTTTACATATAAACATAATTTTATTTTGTAAAAATAGAAAAATAAAAAATATAATGAAAATATAAGTTCTTTTATGATAAATATAAAATAATAAAAATATAGATTTTTAATATTATTTAAATTCTTATTTAAAATTTCGACAATATACAATATTTCGAAATGCACTATTACAGTCGAATCTTTTAATTTAAATAAATTGATAGTTATTGATTAATTTGCTAATAAAAGAAATTTCAATCATAAATACGATTTATATTTAAACGAAAAACTGAAATTAATATATGTATATCTTATAGATAAAATAAAAAAACAATTTATATTTCATTTAAAATTTGAAATATTAATTTTAAGTATATTAATCATTATTAATTTTAAGTATATTAATATTCATAAAATTATGAATTTTGTTATTATGAAGAGAAAAGAAATCTGTGTTAAAGAAATATCAGACAAATGAGATAACATCAAAAATAATTATAGGTTAGATTTGTTTATAAAATATATAAAATAATATATTATTCGGGCATGTCTATTCTATCCTTTGAATTTTGTTTGGACACAAATGAAATTATTTAATTCGAATTTTTCTATTATTGTCTATTATTAATATACATTTGATATTAATTTTGCATTTGATTATATTATGTAAAGATGCATCAATAAAAATAAACAAAGCCACGTGATTAAAATCTTAGAGAATTAAAATTGATCTATAATTCTGAACATAATTTAATATTTTATTACCAATTTTTTAATAATTAATACAAATTCGTTTAAATGTAAAATTTATTTAAAACATTATATTTATATTTTGTTTAATATTAATTTTTTTATATATTTCAAAATATGTTTATAATAATCTCATATTATAATTTCATATATTATAACAACATATTTATAGAGATATTCTGTAATAATAATAATAATAATATGTGATATAATGCCGGAATTGTAAAGACAGATTAACGATAAAATATAAATATTATATTTGTTTATAAATATATTATATATCTGTACGTATATATATTGTTTAATATATTAAAAATATATTTTTTATTTATACAATAAATTTATCATTTCTAACTCTAAATCAGATTTAATACAATAATTATTTTTATCTTCCATATCTATGGTATACATAAATTATTTTTAATTTTTTTACAATTAATATCATTATTATTCTATATTTTATTAATACTAATATATTTTATTTGATTTTCTTATTTATATTAATGATTCATCGCTTCATAGCAAGGAAAAAATAAAAAATATGAAATAAAATATCAGTTGAACTAAGAATATATACAATTCCTTTTTATTTCTCAGTACTATTCAAAACAAATTGAAAGTTGAAAAGATCTAATTAAAAAAAAAAAAAAAACCATTGATAATCGAATCAAATTCAAAATTATAACATCAATCTAATTGTTATATATATTTTATAAAAAAAATAAATAATTTTAAATCTAATATTCAACATTTTATATATTCTCAAAAATATTTATTTAAATTATTTGAAAATTTTACTTATTATTTACTTAGTATCCATTTATGTTATAAGATTTATTTTATATTTGGCATCAAAGAAAGATTATGTATCGAAGTTTGATGTAATTTTTGATGCAAATTTGATTCAACACAAGCTTTAATATAATAAAAATCTATATATAATATATATAGATAATATAATAGTGACATTAAATGATATCAATTGATATCATTTTATAATCAAATTCCTTGCTAAATAATAAAACACTATAACAATCTTTAGATATAATTCGTTATAATTGATTTCATTGATTATAGCAATTTAAATTTAAATAACTTAATTAATTTGAGATTTCTTTAAAAAAAAATTCCATCCACAATTAATTGAAAAAAAATCGTCAAAATTCAATAACTATTTATTAAGTTTTTATATTTTATTTCATCGAATATATATATTATAATATATATATTTTATATATTATATATATTATAAATTTATATATATATAAATTTATAATATATATAATATATAAAATATATATATTATAATATATATATTTTATATATTATATATATTATAAATTTATATATATATAAATTTAATCTTAGAGACACAGACTTATTTCTATTATTATTAAACAGAGCGAATTTTCAAGAAGAATATATGATATTATTTTCTTTGACATTACACATTAGTATTGCAGAAACATTAGTGATTAAACTTCGGTCAAAATTAAATAATGAATCATGTCACATGCAAGGCTATAGTGTAAAAAAAAGAAGAAATATTCAAATTAATATATAAATAAATATAGAAAATAATTACGCTATATTATTCATATTATTGCATTGAATTATTTTAGCATATTATTTATGTAATTGTTTATGTAATTTATTATAACACAACATAAATTACTAGAAATATTTCATAAAATAGAAAAAATTGAAAATTAGTTTTATAATTAATTACATAGAATTATTAAACAATTTATTTATAATATATAAACAATTTACTTTTATCATGATTTATATTTAAAATAGATTCTATAAAAATATATTTATTAAAGATAGCAAATAAAAATAACATTAACGATTTTATTATTTATTCTATATAAATATTATTTATATTTTTGAAAAATAAATATACCTATTATTTTTAAATTTTTNATATTTAATAAAATATAATTAATATATTTATTAAGATATAATTCATGAAAATACAATTTAATAAAAACTTGATGAGTTTCTTATCTTGTAATTTTATTATCATAGAATAACACACTAGAAAATTTTACTTAACCTTTTTCTTGATTAGTTTTATAAGATTTTTAAAGTTATTTTAAAGAATAATTACTGTTACTTTTACGCCATATTAATAAATATATATAAAATATAATATATAAACAATATATATAAAAAAGAAAAATGTGATGAAAAAATCAACAATAATGAAAAATTATTGTTGAAATTATTTTAGATAATTTTAGCATTTGATAAAATTTATCTCTACATTGCGTATAAAAGCTTGTACATATATTTTATAAAAAATGAAACGCTTAACTGAAGAAAAAACAAAACTTGTTCTAGAAAAATTAACAAAATAGTAAGTATAATATATAATTTTTTCAAAACTATCATAATTGATTATATGATTTTTATAATAAAATTTTAAATAATAAATATAATATAATAGATTACAAATGTGTAAATTCATATTTTCATTACAATTATAGAAATGAAATAAATAAATTCATTTATCCTTCAAATATCATAATGAATATTTTATTTTAAAAATTTTATATATTTTTCTATATTATATATTATATGTATTTTTTCAAACATTTATATGCTTAATTTTTCATAAATACATAAATATTTGCAGTCTTATATTATATATATATTATTATAATTAAAAAAGTTAAAAATATAAAAAATATAATTGATAATAATTTTAATTGTGCTAATAATCTCTATAATAAATATTTAAAAAACAAATAAATAGAATTTTAATTTTATTAACAATTATTATTAGTATTAGTACTAGTATTAGTACATGTCTTAAATTATTCTGTATTATGTTTAGTGTTATATTTGTTCTATATATATTTTATAATGTAAATTAAAAAATAATTATGATACAATATCTAATAAAATGATTATGCATTTTTTTGAATGTTCAAAAAAATTTATTGCTAAATAAAATAAGTTATTTGTTATTTGTTATAATAGAAATAAACATAAACAATTACATTTTACTATATTTATTATGATATAATTTGATATATTTTTGATGATTTTGATTAATTATGATATTATGTATAATATTATTTATGTGATTATATCATATGATTATTATATATAAAATTTATTTTTAGTATTGGAAGTAATGTAAAATTATTACTTGATCGACCAGATGGTGTTTATTGTTTTCGAGAAAAGAAAGGCAGAGTATATTATATTTCTGAAAAGATTTTATCATTAGCAAATATGGTAAATCCAGAACGATTAGCAAGTGTTGGCACATGTTTTGGAAAATTTACAAAATCTGAAAAATTTAGATTACATATTACTGCATTATATCATCTGGCTCCTTATGCACAAGTAATTATATTGTTTTTAATTATTTATATTTGAATATAGTTAAATTTCATATTATTCTTTTATTTATAATTTTTCACATATACAGATATAAAGTAAAATAATATTGAAATCTAATGATTAAAATAATATGATTTTTATTATTTTATTAATTTATTTATATATATTTATTTTTTAATATTTTTAAAACATAGACAAATGATTTCATATTTATTCTATCTCAAATATGTATTTTATTGATATATTGGTATATTTACTTATATATTTATATTATTTTATATTATAATTATCTATTAATTTTATCAATTTTTATATAGATATTAATAAAAAAATATCTTTATGATGCATAAATATTTCATTTTTAATGAAATCATTTTATAATAAGATTTGTTTTTAATTTACTAGAAAATTTACTTTTCGTAATATGCAAAATATAAATTAAAATTACTGATAAATACATTAAATCATATACATTCAATATATCATACATTAAATACATTTAAATGAATAAAAAATTAAATATTATTAATATCGATTCAATTTTAAATAAAAATAAAACACAAACATCATAAATAAAAATTTATGTTTATGTAAATATATTTTATATAATTTTATTTTTTTTCTAGTATAAAATTTGGTTGAAACCATCAGCTGAACAACAATTTTTATATGGACATCATATTTCTAAATCTGGTTTAAATCGAATTACTGAAAATACACCTCAGTATCAAGGAGTTGTTATTTTTTCCACAAATGATATACCATTAGTAAGTGAAAGATTGGATTATTTAATAATTTATATTTTTATAAAAATATAAAATTTTTAATAATAATTAATAAATTTTTAAATAATAATTTTATATTTTTTATTTTAATCATATATTAGGTTATTGCAAATGAAATGGTCAATATATATTTAAAAAGACATTTAAAAAAATACATTTAAACATTTAAACATTTAAAAAATATTGTAAAATAATATATTATGAATCAATTTAAATTTGAAGATGGATAAATACAACTTGAATATTATTTTATTAAATTATCTTATTGTAAAGAAGCGAATTGTAAATTATATTTTAACATCAAATTCAATTTTTTCTTATACAAGTTTAAAATTCATAATGCATAAAAATTACTATTAATATTAATATAATTTTCTAAAAAGATTGGATTGAAAAAAGAAATCTTTTATTGATATAAAAAATTATAATTGAAAAATATAATTAATTAAATTATAAATAAATTGTAATAATTTTAATTTGCTTTTTGATAGGTAAAATGAATTAAATTTTTTTATTCTTACTTTGATTAATATTTTTAATAAAATTATAATAAACGAAAATTTCATTTTCAACAATCTAATAATAATAATCTATATTAAAAAAACTTATTTATTAATTTTAAATGATTTTATGTTTTATTAATATTAATAATTATTTGTAAAATAATTATTAATAATACTGAACTCTTTAATACAGAGCTATTTTGTTACTTAATACATTGTATATTTAATACAAAAAATAGTAAATATCTTGTCTCTAATCTATTTTATTATTAAAATTTAAATTTAATAAAATTATTATAGGGTTTTGGTGTCACAGCTAAAAGTACAATAGATTGCAAATATGCAGATCCAATGGCAACAATATGTTTTCATCAAGCTGATATAGGAGAATATATTCGATCAGAAGAATCTTTAATGTAAAAATCTTATAAAAATATTTATCATATTTATTTTCTAATATTAATATGTTAATATTAATATTTTCTAAATAAATATATTTAAAAGTTATAGACAATATATTTTTATTAAAAAAATATTTTTATTATATTAAATATACTATACTATAAAATATACTAAATATACTATATTTACTATAAATATATATAATACTATAAATATATCAATTATCATATAATTATTATATATATATGTTAAAAAAATTTTCAAATTATTTTTTAACTTTATTAAAATTCAAAAAACAATAAATTTTAATATTAATTTAAGTTAAATAATTATTTTTTTTTATTTTATAATTATAAAATAAATCTTTTTTTTAAATTAATAAATATTAATATGTTATTATTTAATATATATATTTCAATATAATAATTTTAATAAAACTTTTTCTATATTTATAATTTTTCAATAATTAATAATAATCATCATTTTTAATATTTTGCATTATAATTCAAAATAATCTTTTTTATATTTTTAAATATTAATCTTTAATTTAGAAGTTTTATTAATGATTTATTGATCTTTATTTTTTAAAGAATCAATTACAGAAAATTAATTAAATTAATTATAAAAAATTAGTAAAATTAAAAATTTAAATAGTATAATATAAATTTAATTAACTAATATAATAAGATTCTTATAATGAGATTTTTTTTATTAAAACACAGAATTGAAAATTGATAGAAAACAATAATAGATATTTAAAAAAATTATAAATTCTAATGAAAGAATAAAACAAAGAATAAAACAAGTTATTAGAAAATAGGATCATTCAATATTTTTATAAAAAAAAAATAAATATAAAAAATATTCAAAATATTGATTTCAACAATATTCAAAAATGATTAAAATTAATAATAAATTCTTTTCAAGATTTTCAGTTGAAAAAATAATAAATTATTTTCAATTAATAATAAAAAATGATATTATTGAATATTAATGAATATTAATAAAAAAATTAATGAATATTATATTACAATATTTATTATTTTGTTCTATATCAACTAAAGAAAATAATATAAAATATGTAGCACTCTAGATATATTCTTAATATATTAAATTTTTTAAAACATATTAAATAGGTATCGAATTTTTTAAATTTAAAATTATAGTTATTATATAATAATAGTTATTAGCACGGCCTCGTTCTTAGACAAAATTTAATAGTTGAAGTTATAATAAATAAAGTTATTTTGATAAGTTACGTCAATAATTGGTTGTTAAAAAGATAATAATAATCGCAAATAATTATAGTGCCAAACGGTCGAGATTATATGAAAAACGAATCAACTGTAATAGCTATGAATAAATGTTATTCAAGCATTTTAACAAATAATTACTTAAAGTAATTTTATTTGAAATTTTACTTTTTCAATGGATTAATACTCAATTCTGGCACCAAGATACAAAATTTATTATTTAATGCTTTTTTTTAGAAATTTATTATCTTTTTAGTATCATTCTTAACGATTTAACATTATTTAGAATAAGATTACAAAAAAATTACAATAAGATTCATTATTGTTAAAAATAAAATTAAATTTAAAATTACGAAAATTCATTATTGTTAAAAATAAAATTAAATTTAAAATTACAAATAAAACACAAAGTAAAATAATAATAATAAAAATAATAAATTTTAAACAAAAAATAATATTATTTTTTCAGATTTTTAAAAATGTTTTATTTAGAAAATTACAAAATAAAAAAATATAATATTTAAATAAAATTTAAAAAAAATTGTTTGTATTAAATATATAATTACTTAAAATTATTTATTATTAAAAATCTTAAGCTTTTATAAATAAAAAAAAGAAAATTAGTACTTAATTAATTAATGAAATATTTGATAATTTTGGAAATCAAAAGTTGTTTAATGCTTTCATACAAAAGTTAAGATTAATAAAATCATTGTTTTGATAAGTCGTTGAAAATAAATATAAATAATTATTAAAATATAGAATTTTATACTTTTTTTATGAATAATATTCTGTTGATTTGTCTTATATTTTATTTATAATTTCGAATTAAAATTTAATTTCAATTTCAACCAAATGTAATCTTATTCTATGTTGAATCGGTAACATAAAAAATGGTACTGAAATGATAATGGACTAAGAACATATATTAAATATAATATCTAACATACTATAGTACTATAGTGCTAGAGTGCTACATATTTTATATTATTTTCTTCAGTTGATATAGAACTGAAAATATTGTAATATAATATTTATTAATTTTTTTATTAATATTCATTAATATTCAACAACATTTTTTATTATATTTTTTATTTAACTGAAAATAATTTATTATTTTTTCAACTGAAAATCTTGAAAAGGATTTATTATTGATTTCAATGATTTTTGAATATTGTTGAAATCAATATTTTGAATATTTTTTATATTTATTTATATTTATTTATTGTATATTTATTTTTTTTTTTTTTATAAAAATATTGAATAATCCTATTTTCTAATATATTCACAAAAAATTTCTATTACTATAATGAATTCTGCCTTTAATTATGAAACAGTATATGTTTAAACATCAATGATTTATATTAAATTTAATTTTTTTAATCTGATAGCTAATGTGTAAAATTTTTGATTTTGATGATTTTTAAATGTATTATAAAAAAATGAGATTCTTATTAATTTTTTTTTGTAGATAAACGATATTTATATATCACTAAAGTTTTCGTAATATTTACGAAAAAAGATTGCTATTATTAAAAGATTAACAAATTTTATCTACATGTATTTTATGTCCGTAATAACAAAATGTATCAATATGTTTGTGATCGATAAATTTGAAGAGTTAGAAATGGAATGAATTTTTTGAATTTTAAAGAGATGAAATAAATTTTAAATTTTCTTTTATTCGAAACGAAAATTTTAATTTAGGATTTAATCTTTCTCTCTCTTTTTCTCTTTTTTCCATCTTACTTTCAAAATTTATAGTATTAGCTAAATATTAATTGATTTATATAATTTATTCTTGGTGCATTTGATATTTATCATATATTGATTCATTTCCTATTCTTGATAATTAGTATAGACTTAGACAATATGTAATCGATTAATGAAAATTATAAATTATGTTATAAATTATAATATATATTATATATTATATATTATATATAATATACATATTATATATTATATATAATACATATATTATATATCTATTATAAATTTATAATATTTATAATATTATATTATATATATTTAAATATTTATAATATTATAAATATTATGATAGAATTATTTATATCAAATATAATATAAGATTTTTATAAAAATGTGATAAATTTTGGAGAATAGATTCTAGATATCAAAACAAAAAAAAAAAATTTCTATGTTTTAATTAACAAATTACAAGCATTTTAAATTTGGATTAAATAGAATGATATACCAAAAAAATAAAAACACTCGTACCATATGTCATTTGCGTAGCAGAGTCTCTCAATAAAAGCAAATACACTAATATTCTTTTATGCAAAAAAAAAAAAAACTAATTTTGAATTTCAATGTAATATATAATATACATAAATATTGTATAAATATTCTTATATCATTAAAAAAAAATTTCTCAATTACGCAAATTGAAACTCACATAATTTATTATTTCATAAAAATTTAGCTCGAACAAGTAATAGCAAATTTCGCAATATTCGATATTGTACGATTTTATTATACAATATTTCATTTAAAGTCATTTAAAATCATAGGTGAATCGTATTACATTCTGCCTATTTATTGAAATTCATATGAGAAAATCAAAACATATATAATCCTATAAGATTTTGAATTAGAATAATTGAGTGTATTTTTATGCGTCCAATTACTTGTTTCTTTTAATTATTTTCACATGTACAACTCTGAAATATTAGCGATTGAATCAATTTGAATTTCAGATTATTCAATAAGTTATATAATATATCAAATTGACAAATCTTCATCTTTATTTCATTTATATAATATTTCTTATTCTTAGTTAGAGATTTAATTAAAATAACAGTTGATTTGAATATCACATATTAATAATACGTGAATCAATATTACACGTTAATATTATAAATCCATAAAAAGTACATATATATTGCATGCATTTTTTGTGTATGCAATTACATATTACATCCATTAATTTCTTTTTTGCACTTTTATTTTTCATATATATTATCAACGAATGAATCGAGAAATAAAATAATATTGTTTTGATTTAGAATAACAGAAAAGATTTAGACTTTTCTTGAATTATTTATTGAATTATTATATTCTTGAATTTACACAATGGAAACATAAAATTCGATTTCGGATATTACTCTCTCATTTTTCCTTTCTATAGTGATTGAATCAATTATAATAATTCCAAGAAAATTTATAACAAATTGTTTGCCGATTAATCAATTCTCTTTTTTTACAGTTTGAGGAAATTTTCTACTTTTATTCTTTTGTTTTCTTCTTTTTTTTTACTTTCTATTTTTGCTCAAATATTGAATTAGGTTTGAATATTTATATACATTTAAATGCAAGCATGGATAAATATCTTGGATAGATCTTGTTCTGGCAATTAGTTATATATTTTGCTTATCGAATCTTGCCGACGAAATTCCGTGACATTAGAATTACTCAAATTACGCAACGAATCGGCTGAAGATATCGTTGGATATCCAATAGCTATTTTATATATTGTTGTGGAGGGGAATTTGAAGTTTAATAAAAATATATATTTGATACATATTTGAATATATGTTTAAAATAAATTTAATTAAGTAATTTGCATTTAAAATTACTTATAAAATTAAATTATACGATAATAAATAATAATCGATTATCGAAATAATTTTATTAAAAGAAAATATAAATAATTACATTGGAAAAAAGTACAATGCTTATATTTCAATGGATATAAAACGTGGATAATAACGTATTAATAACATATTAATAAAAAGTAGTATAAAGACGTGATATTATAGATATAAATATAGATATTAAATTTTAAGTATTACTTGTTTTTATTTAGTAATTTCACAATGGAATAAAAAATATTGAATTTAAATCCAATAAAGACAGA